ATGGTGGAAAGGGGCTTATTATGAATAATAAGACACACATTTCACCTTAATGGTTCCAAAGTAATTTCAGGAACTGAAATGCAGGAACGAGTAATTCAGGAACTGAGGACAAGAGACTGAATGTTATAATAAAAGATTCTTTCATTGCTCTTATCCTTCAGGAAATTACAAAAGTTTTGGGACCTGTGAGCTAGGAAGCATGGATTAAGACCAAACACATTTCTTACAAATCACATCTCAGGTCAATATTTCACTTCTTAAATATTCATTGGGCGGAAACAGAAATCCTACCAGGAAAATTTTAGGTTTGCCAGAATCTGTACTTTTTTTTTTTTTTAACTGGGACATATTTTAGGATTCCAGGATATTTTTATCCTGTTTATGAACCTTCTTTCTAAGCAACTTCCCATTCTCAAAAAAATCATCAAGAAAATAAAGTACTTCTTTAGAGTAGTGGTCCTCAAACCTAACTATACCTGGGGCCTTAAAAAAAAATGCTGACCCTGGGACACATCTTCGGAGACTCTGATTTAATTAATTTGTGTTGCCTAAGCCTCAGGATTCTTTAAAGCTCCCAGACAATTCCCAAGGTCAGCCAAGGGCAAGGACCATATCTTGAGATTATCTTTTTCTTTTCATTTTCTTTTCTCTTCCTTGGTCTTTGTCTTTTCTTTCATTCCTTCAAAAATTCTCATTTCAACACCTGGTTTCCTGTAGGTTCATAAACCACACTGATAGATTCCATTGCTTATCTAGCAGATTAATAGAGAACAGCATATTTTCTTTTAGAATCATTAATTTTGTTCTATTTGGGCTCACTCTTCTGGAAGTATCTTGATGACATTAACTGGGTGCTAATCCATTCCAGGCAAGGGCTGAATGTTGTCAATATCATTGTTCTTATGGCTAACATCATCAGTATTCTCAAATGAAAGGCAAAATTCTCAGTCATAAATTGAACGCCTTCAAAGAAAAATACAACTGCTTGTTGTGGGGTCTTCAAGCCCAGTGGCCAAGAAAGAATTCTTGAGACATTTTATGGTGCAACTTTGTAAGCTAATTGAAGTAGCACAGGGACAGGATCCAGGAGGAGAAAGAGCTTCAACTTTTGCTGTATGAAGCTGGTGGTTGTATGTTTAGTGCTCAAGGGGATATGCAGGGAGTATTAGATCATAAATGTTTCCTCCAATTTCTTCTCATAAAACTACTTTTGCAAGATTTTTCTGGTGCTTATCATTCAGCCCCATATTAACTATCAGTGAGATGTACAGGCAATCATGAGACCTTTTAAGAATGTAGAAACCAGTGTGTATTTGATTCTTATCTAAACTATGCAGGCGATAGGTCAGCTTTCTGGGCTAACAGTGAACATTTTTCTTCTTCTATCCCTCATCACTCCTCAAAAATGTGCCTATTCTGCCTCCTCAGATAAAGGTCACCCTATTCAATCTCCTCACCAGCATATTTGTGATAGTTAAATCATATATCAGGACCCACAGCACAGAGGCTAGCCCAGTGGCCTGACCCACGTCAAAAATCAAACCTAAGTCCTTCACTTGCAGGAAACACCTATGGAGGAATTCTAACATACACTGATCACAATCCTCCAACTCAGAGTTAGCTAGCTTACCTTACCCTAGAACATCAGACCTGCTGGTCTTATCAGGAAATCCCCAACCTCTTAGCTAGCTGTGCCCATTTCCATGGTGCCTCTTCCAAAGTTCCTATGAAATTCACTCTTGCCTCAAATCCTTTGGGAACAATTCTCCGTGGAGGTCAGGATTACTAGGGTCAGGGCAACTGGGCAGCACAGACACTGATCTGACCCAGCTGGCAACAGAGTTCAGGAGCTCTGTGCACCAGAACCATGGTCCTTGTCTGTGGCTAGAAGTCCATGGCATCATTGTTGGGTGGGTAGACTTTGAAGTTACAGCAACCACCTGATGAGGCAGGAGTTCAGAGGCAGCAAAGGTGATCTACTTTGAATTTTTTAAAAAAGATTTTATTTATTTGAGAGAAAGAGCATGATTGGGGACGGGGGCCATAGGGAAAGGAGAAGCAGGGAGCCCGAGGTGGGGCTCGATCTTGAGCCCAGGTCCCTGGGATCATGACCTGAGCCAAAGGCAGATGCTTAACCAATTGAGCCATCCAGGCACCCCTTTAAATGTTTAACACATACGTTAATTCTAAAATTTTCTAATGACATCTACAATTATTCCAGATTTTCATCTTCTTGCTAGCCATGACAAGGGACTTACTTTGATTCAATGACTCATTGGTATTAATCAACTTTTCATGGCTGATAAACATTTCCCTTTTCCTTTTTTCATATAAGAAGCTAATTTGTAAAAAAAAAAAAAAAAGCTAATTTTGTCACATTAACAGCTACATTTACTAACATGTTTTAGCAACTTGTGTGCCTGGCAAGTTTTCCTTACATCATACACTTTCACTCCAAAAAAGACCCAAGTACATCCGTTTAGACTTCTTCCATGAAGGCCTGTGGGGGATACATTTTGGTAGACTTTATCTCATAAGACTTTCTCTCCTTTGGTTTTCTTATTCCTCAATGAATTTTTGGCCAAGTGTAAAATTGTAGAGTGATGCTTCCCCCCATCATTCTGAATGTTCTCTTCTGGAACCTGTTTTGCTGAGGAGAAGTTCACTGTGAACAGTGTCTACATTCCAGTGTCACTGGGGAAAGATGGGATAAAATCTGGGAAGTGCCCACCAGACTCCTCCACATTAAGCAAGTGTACCCTCTTTCTTCTCACCCTCGGCTCTCTGGAAACTGACTAACATCAAAAGAATATACATGGTGCGCCTGGGTGGCTCAGTTGCTTAAAGCCTCTGCCTTCAGCTCAGGTCATGATCACAGGGTCCTGGGATCGAGCCCCATATCGGGCTCTCTGCTCAGCAGGGAACCTGCTTTTCTCTTTCTCTCTGCCTGCCTCTCTGCCTACTTGTGATCTCTGTCTGTCAAATAAATAAATAAATAAAACTTAAAAAGAAAAGAATATACATAAAAAGAAGTCAACAAAATAGAATCTGTTTATTAAAGTCCTCTACCTCAAATATTAAAACAATTGAGAGGAATCTCTCATACACTCAGGCTTTTCTGTAATTTCTTGACAAAATATAGTTCTTGGTTTTGTTTTCCCTTTTTGAAGCAGAGCCATTTCTGAGACTTGCTGAAGGACATCTCTTTTTAACTCATTCATCTCAGTTACCTTGACAGAAGCTTGGTCTTTCTGGTCTACATTTTCTCAAGTATTTTTTGAACTGACATAAACGTGAATGCAATCCCCTGATTTTTGTAATGGGTCTTTGTAGAAACATTCTGAATCCAAACCAAGAGCTTATATTTTCTGTATAGTTAAAATTTTCCAAGTATAGTTAAAATATCATTTTTATAAAAATATTGCTTGTTTTTTTCTACTTTTAAAATAGGTCACACAGTAGCTCCATCATGCTTATTGTTACATTTAGAGCTAATATTTTTTTATTCAAATTATTTTTGGGGGGAGGGGAGGGGAAAAGAAGATGGGGGTAGATGGAGAGGGAGGGAGGAGAGCAAGCAGAGTGGGACTGAGCAAGCAATCTCCTGATACAGTGGAGACATGGAGACTCGGATAGTGGCCAGAGAAAAATGTTTTGCCTAAGTTAACTAATGAGTGGAATAGTCAAGGAGATGCATAATCAGCAACAAGGCTTTTTAAGAAGTGAAATGAAAATCATGCATTAAGAGAGAGATGAAAGGCAAAGTTTCTCCTGTGCATCTTAATTTTGTGGAAGAAGAAAAATGGGGACTGATAATGGTACATGAGAAGATGTGAAAAAAATAGAAAGATCTACAGAACACGGATAATAATATACAATCATATATACCACACACTGGAATGGCACACGAGCCTACCAGAGAGGAAGAGAATTCAAAAGGTGACATACTTCATGTGCTAAAGAAATCACTGTTTTCATACTCCTTTGGCCACTTAGTTCCCAGACATGTGTTAGAAGCAAAAAAAAAAAAAAAAAAAAAAAGTATACTTCATCATTCTGACCACTTGGGCCCAAAATAAGTGACTAGTATCTCCTGGACCAGATGCTCTTGGAATTTTGTTCAGGTTCCTACAAGTCTTTACCGGACTTTGTCGTGCTAGTGGTTCCACACGTGGCTCTACAACATGATGTTAAGCTACTGGCCTCCCTTCATGTTGTTTTCCTTCTAGAAGATTTTCTTAATCAGGTGATATGTTATGCCATCATCTTAATGGTCAGTTGTTACCTACACCTGGCTTTGAATCTGAACTCTGCAAAAGGTAACTCTCTCAGATACCTGACTCTGGTATTTATTCTAAACACAAACTCACTTAAATTAAACAGAGCAGAATTCAATAAAATGAAACAAAGAGCCTGACAGTTCTCTGCCGGTCACATACATATAAAAAAAAAAACCAAACACCCCACAAAGTTAGAAGCAAATAGATTTTGCTTTTCACAGTAATAGATTCTGTGGACTCAGATTCAGATAATTTTTCAGAGCTGATGTCATCATCCTTAGACTTGAAGTTCCTTAGTACATTTCCCAGGAGAGGACTTCATAACACGATCAGTTCTATTCTCTTATTAGAGGTGCACCATTGTACAGAATATATGGTGGCATTGTTAGCATATACTTATAGCAATAAGGGAGATGGAAATCTTAGAAGAATTTAAGGGGAGATATGAGAGAAAAGAAAAGAAACCGGATCCTGGGCAGCACCGGGACCTGGCCGGAGGAGTCCGTGACTCTGCTCAGTGCTTCACCAGGACACAATTTTTCTTTTATGGCCTGGACTTTGTGGTCTGGAAGTATCCCATGTTTAGGGACCCAATCAGTTCAATATATATTTTTAATATTGAAAATCTGAGACATTCAGTTCTTAAAGCATTTATACTACCGTTCTTCCAAATCTCACAGAAAACAAGTCTTCCACCTTTAAGACTGTCTCTGGCCTCCCTCACACTGATCGCTCCTTCCACAGCACTCTCCTCAGGACACCCTTGACCTCTGCGTTCCTCAGGCTGTAGATCAGTGGGTTCAGCATAGGGTTGAAAATGCTGTAAAACAGGGAAAGGATCTTCTGCTGCTCCTCAGGGTGGCGGGATTTGGGGGCCATGTACATGACAATGGCGCTGCCAAAGAAGAGCCCCACCACACAGAGGTGGGAGGAACAGGTGGAGAAGGCCTTTCTGCGGCCCTCCCCGGACTGGATCCTCAGGATGGCAAACAGGATGTGTGAGTAGGACACCAGCACCAAGCAGAGGGGCCCGACTAAGATAAACACAGAAGCAGCAAAGATGACCACTTGGTTGAGCTGCGTGTCAGCACAGGCCAGCTTGAGGACAGACAGGATTTCACAGAAGAAGTGGTTGATTTCATGAGGCCCACAGAAGGGCAGCCTCAGGATGAGAACCACATGGACCAGGGCCAGCAGGGAGCTACATGCCCAGGAAGTGACTGCCTGAACGGTGCACACTCTCCAGCTCATGATGATGGAGTAATGTAGGGGGTGACAGATGGCCACGTACCGATCATAAGACATCATTACTAGGATGAGACACTCAGTGTGAGCAAAAGCCATGTATAAAAAAGTCTGCATTATGCATGGGACAAATGAGATAGTTTTTTGCTTGCTCAGAAGGTTTGCCAGCATCTTTGGGACATTATTGGAAGCATAGGCTATGTCAACGATGGCCAGATGGGAAAGAAAGAAGTACATGGGGGTGTGCAGTCGGGAGTCCAGCCAGATGAGCACCAGGATGATGCTGTTCCCCAGCAGAGTGAAGGCATAGAACAGGGAGAAGAACCCAAAGAGGAGCATCTGCAGCTTTGGGCTGAGTGGGAATCCCAGGAGAATGAATTCTGTGACCCATGTTTGGTTTTCCGTCATTCCCTGGCAACAGTATCTGTACCAGTCTCTGCTGCTGCGGGAGGCTGTGTGCTAAGGAGCGAACACAGATCTGGGTTAGTTCTCAAACAGAAAGAGGGGGGTTAAAGTATATCCTGTGTGTTACCTCAGCTGGCAATCCTTTTCAGAGCCAGGATGTCAAATCCTTGATCCACAGTAATGCAGGAAGAAAACTTATTTAGGGAGTGTAAGTGAGCACAAGGTTGCATGTCCTATTTTGATGTCTATAGAATTTTATTTGACTTTGATTGCAAGATCCACATATTTACTATCATGATGGCAGCCACAGAATAATTTGTTTTCTAGAATGACCAATTATTTCACTTGGGGGAAAGTTCCATAGCCATATTGTCATATATGTTTACTTTCTAATTGATTTAGTTTTCACATTTCATTTCCACTTTCTCTTTATCATTTGGTTTGCTCTTATTTTTATAACTTGTGGAGTACATTGCACGTACCAGGTGCTCAATAAATGACAGAATAAATAAATGAATGAATGAATTAGGGAATAAGATTTATAAATGTAACTTCAAGGAGAATTGTTTCTCTCTCTCTGTTTACTAGCTTTAGGGCTTTGGCAAATGAAGTTAGCACTAACTTTTTCACTCCTGATGCTACATAGAAAAATCTGTCTATTTCTCTTTGGAGTATGGGTAGAGCAACATCATGAATCTGGTCAGCAGTCATAGACATAATTTAGGTATAGGTTCAGGGAAAGTGGTTATCATGTGAAGACTTAACTATATAATGTTTCTATATCTGCCAGACCCCCACCCTCTTGCAGTACTGCTTCCCTGGTTCTGTGTAGATGCTATTTCTGGGTCCCCCTGCATTTGGACAGTACCCAATATGGCACCCATTTGTTGAATGGTTGAATGGATGGATGGAAGGAAGGATGGAAGGTGTTACATTAGGAATAACATCCAAAGTGCCTATCCCAGAATTTAATCAAGGCTTTTGACTCTTCTTTCATTTTTTTCTGGCTGCCATTCCACCAACCATATAGCCACAGGGATGACAGAAAGGGAGTCCTGAAATGTTCTGTAGAACCGATTACAGACACCTCTCGTATGATATTTCATTATATACTTGATCATTCTCAATAAGCAGCTTATAATTCCAACTCTGAAAATTTCAGCCCTATTTAACCCACTGAGCCAGGTGTCCCAAATTTCAGCCCTGTTTCAGACCAGAAAGCTCCCTGTCCATAAGTTGACCATGTGCCTCTTGTTCAGGATGCTAATTTCTGGAGCTCTTCCTTCCTCCAGACCCCAGTTCTCTCAACTAACACACTTTGAAAAAGGCCCCTTACTCACTGTGATACCGGCCTTTGTCTTATCTTAGAGTTGGATTAGATTTAGAAGAAACTGCATGGAAGTCAGCAGATTTTGAAGGTGAGAGCAGATGATCCTGTCCCTCCAACTGTCTCTGAAAGAGGGACTTTGAAGTGCAGGGCTTGTCTCCGTTTTCTTGACATAGGCTGATGCAGGTACTGGGGTTTGCTCATCATGAGCACCAGCAGTAAATGTTTTATAGCAAGCTCCTCTTCACCCAAGCCCACCCAGACTGTCTCTGAGTGTCCCTGGGGGTGATGAGACAAGGACACACACCTCTATCAGGAGAACCAAAATTGTTTGTCTTTCTCTTTCCATTTCTCTGGGCCCTGGGGATGGACATTCAGAAAAAAAAAAGAGCTGGCAAATGATGACTAATACCCAGCTGAATCCATACACGTGAAACTTGTATAGTAATAAGAACAAACATACTCCTGGGACTACATTGCAAATTATACCCCCCAAGTATTTGGATGGTGATAGGTTCCTGGATCTTTATCTTGTCCCGGATGGATTTGTGGAGCTTGGAGGAGGCAGAGCCCCATCTTCATGAGGCAATGGGTTGAAAACTGGCATTAATGTTTTTTACTTTCCTCCCTAGATAATTCTAAGTTGGGTGATGGTACACACAAAGAAAACTCTTCTGTCCACCTTCCCACACTGTGCTGAGTCCTCTCCATGTAGCACCCGAGATTTGATATGGGGTATTGGAAGTAAGGGAAAACAGAAACCAAAGTAGCTGACCTTAAAGAGGTGTCTGATTGCCTTGGACTGAGGTGTTGACTTTAGATTCACAGGATAAAACATAAACACAAAATTTCGTGAAAATTTTTCTGATTTTCTCTCTTATGTGTGTCAGTCCTACATGTGTATGTGTGTGTATTTATTTTCTCAATGGACAAAGTTTTGGAGAGAAACATTCAAAACTCTCTTATCAGATCACATTTGGTTCTTTACTTAAAAGAGGAGAAGTGGATTAAGTGTGAACAATGTAGTTCTCTGTTAATAAGGGAAGAAAGAATATATGCTTTTGGTTTTTGACTGACAGGCTAGTCAAGGATTCAAAGCCCAGGATTTCCATGGGCAGAAAAAAGAAGCTCAAGGGATAAATATCCTGAAAAGGAGTGAGAAGCTCTATACAGTGGTTAGAAAATTAACTGAAGCATTTAAGATAAATTTATTGACTACCTGAAACTGGAGAACTAAAAATATTTCCAAGAGGATTTTTAGTTTCTATATAGTATCCCTATGTGGACACTTTATATCTGTAATTACCTACATGTAGATACTTAATAATTTAAGTCATTCTTTTATTCAAGCACTCATTCAGTTTATATTTACTGAGCATCTGTTATATGTGGGCACTGTCCTACACACTGGAAAAGCAAACATTAATTAGATACTGCCTTGACCTTCAAGGGCCTTCCAGTCCCCTTCAGAGTGAGCCATGCGAATAAGCAATATAGGAGTTGTGACAGAAGTGTGCACAGTATGCCCTGGGGCTGAAGGAGGGTGTGCTAGATCATTCTGAAAAGGAACTGGTACAGACTTTCCCATGAATGAGATACTTAAGCATTCTTCAGGAGGATGTAAGGTGTGTAGGACATGCCAGGCTGTCCCTTAAGGCATAAGGAGAAAAAGGCAAAAGAACACTATTGGAAAGGGGGTTCACAAACAAGCTTCTGTACCATGTCAAAGATGTTGGCCTTCCTTTTGAATAAAGAGTAGAATTAAATGACTAAATATGCAGTTACAAAGATTACTTCTTGCTTAGTGTATAAGTCTGTTTAAAAGAATATGATTGGGGGTCCCTGGGTAGCTAAGTCATTAAGTGGCTGCCTTTGGGTCAGGTCATGATCCCAGGGTCCTGGGATTGAGCCCCACATCAGGCTCCTTGCTCAGCAGGAGGCCTGCTTCTCCTTCTCCTGCTCCCTCTGCTTGTGTTCCTTCTCTCACTCTGTCTCTCTCTGTCAAATAAATAAATAAAATCTTAAAAAAAAAAAAAAGAATGTGATTGGAGACCATGAGGCCAAGCTATCTGCAGAGTTGATGTGTTCTAGTGAAAGACAATGAGTACTTGAGTTAGGGAGATAACCAAGGGGATGGGGAGAGAGAATACATGTGAAATCTGATTATCGGTATTTAGTGATGTCATGTGTGTGCTGAGGCAAAAAGCAGATCTTGGGTTCTTCCCAGGTTTCTGGCTTATGTACCTGAATAGATGGTTTCATTCACTTATACAGAGAATACCTGGGGGAGAATTACAGTAAGGGCTGAAAAAGAGTTTTTACATAGTTTTTAATACGATGTGTCTGATGTGCCTATGGCACATATAGGTGGAAGTGACTAATAAGGAATTAACCAGATTGTTTTGGAGTTCATTAGAGATATCTAGCCCAAAGACATGGATTTGGGAATCATATGCATTAGGTGAAAGTTAAAGCCATGATAATAAAAAAAGAGTGTTTTAGAAGAGCAGTTTCAGTGAGAATAAAGGACAAGAATAGTATCTTAAGAATGGCCAATATTTAAAAGATGGACAGAAAAAGATAAATCCCCAAAGGAGAGCAAAAAGAAAGATCAGAGAAATAGAAAGCAAGCCAGAAAATAGAAGAGAAGGGAATCAGTGAGCTATGCTCTGTATTATGCCAGGACACAAACTAAGACATTCACTTTAATCCTATGAGTAATTCCATTTTTTAAATATAAGAATATTCTTCTGCGCAGCGCTACACTGAAGTTAATGTTTATTGATAAAATAAAATAAGACCAAAATTACTGAGAGAAAGCCATTATTATTCTTCAAGAAAAATACATCACTTCTTTTGGTGTCATTTCCCATTTGTATTGACCTGTATACAAGGGTGAACATTATGTGTCATGTAGAGTAAATTTTAATTTCCAGAGAGCCTGGTATTAAGATGCTAATCAGAAATATAATAGAGTACAAATATACAATGACTTCATTGTGAAAATGAGAAGTAGTTATTACCCTGTATGAAAAAAGGACTCAGCTGATAGCAGATGATACCAAGGATAAAGATGCACAGGACCAAACATTTACAAGGTGAGAATCATAGTTCATCCTGCTAAGAATCCATCACATTCAAAAGAAGCTTCTGTTAGCCCCCCAGAAGCACACCCACCCCCCAGTAACTCATCACATTATTCTTAATTCCTCGATACACACACAGAAACCTGATGAATAGGAAAAATAGTGGATTCCATAGTTTCTTATTTTTTTGCCCAACTAGGGGACAAAAGTCCACATGATCTTTCATATCTCCAGAACTACAGTATAGACTCAAAAGGAGGGGGAAGGAGCGAGGACACTCTAAACACAGAGTCGGCGTCAGATAGTCCCACATTAATGATATGATTTTGAAGGACAAATTGTATGTCTGTTAAATTGTTGTTTTTTTAAGAAAACCATTCAATTCTCCCTTAACCTTTCAACTATTATGCATTTCATAGTGTGCTTAGGTGATAGAGAAAAGTTTCTCAAAGCATGGTCCAAGAACCACCAGCATGAGAAAAGCACCTCACTCTTTATAAGGAAGAAAAAAGCACTGTGCAAAGTCTAAAACTCAAAGTAATTATGTATGGCACTATTTAAAAAAAATCATTCATGCATAAAGAACCTTA